ATGAAAATGCATATGGTAGTTCTCAGCCGAATAATGTACTATGCCCCAAAACAATGCATGGCTCAAATTAGCCTTGTAGACCCAAATGCACATGGGGGTTGGGGACATTACAGGTCAATTGGTAGTGTTTGTGTTCATAACCTCTCTAGCACATCCGTACCTAATTGATTTAATACAGATGATGACTTGATAGATATTGCAAAAGGCAGCTAGGCCTTCATATCCTTTCTATGTTTTTTACCTTCAAATTAATATTTCTTTCCCAAAACAAATTAGGGAATCAAATTTTTAATCTTCATTAAAACTAGAGAAAGATTCACTTCATTTTCACTCGAAATGTAATCTTTTTTATACCCAACTTCTAAACCATTTTTGGGGATTTCTTCAAAAGAAAGGGAAAAAAAAAAACAATAAAACTCTAACTTTATTTGATTTCTTGAGCTTAGATCTTCTCTTGCTCTCCAAGTAACTAATGAAGACAAACGATACTCATCTCATCTTCAATTATATTGAAGAACCTAATATTTTTCTTTGGAATAGCATGATTTGATTTTTTTTTTTTTGTCACAAATGTAAAATGACTAAGGCTAAAATCTACTACTAGTTTAATAACTTTTTAGGTTAAGGTTCACAAATCTTCAAAAAGTCAAACTTAAAGTTATTAATAATAGTTAGTCTATACAATTATATATCAAATTTAATCACATTTCGCTACAAATGTGGGATTTGGAATTCAAGGTGTTAAAATAAGATATTGGTTTCTACAATTCATGCCCTAGTAAGGCTTGTTGCCCAACAAATTTTGCTTTTCCTTTGTTTAATAGACATGTAGTGCACTAGACTTTTAGATTTTTTATTAGGTATTAGGATTCATAACATTTTTTTTTTTTTTTGAACATGGAGAATTTTTCAAGTAGTTGGTAGGAATTTGAGAATTTTTCAAGTAATTAATGAGAGTTAAACTCTTAATCAACTAAATCCAAACATTAAAATTTAGGGGCAAATGATTGGATATGAAAGCTTGATTCAAGATCCAAAACATTCTGCTTAAAAGGATTTATGATTTGGATGTTTTTATGAATAAAAATTTGTTTAGTTTTTATGAAAAATTTAGATATTTAAGTGATGCCTTATAGCTATAGTTATTTGATGAAGTTCTTAATAGAAACGTTGCTTCTTGTACGCGACTTTTTTCGTATTATGAAGCTGATATGATGG